AACTTGGAAACTTGGAAAAATGGGAAACTGAAAAGACAGAGTTCTTTCTGTTGTTTACATCTCTTGGTTCAAAAGATACTGCTTAAAACGGTTTAATACATATGTAGGAAAAAAAGTTTACACTAAATTTGATAAAGGCTTTAAAAATTACTTTCAGCCATAAATTTGTCGCACAAAAACGTTTAAAGTATTTCTTTTAAAATATTACTTTATCATAGAAAATAGAAGTTTAATTTTAGATTTTCGTTGAGTTTTCTTTTTCGAAAGTAAATTTTAGACATTTTTTATCAATTTCTCGCATGCATTAAAATAAGGGGAAAACTTGAGTCTGTACCACAGGCTAACGCTGACGGTCAAAATTAACATGAAATTCTCTAAGTGGATTGTAAAGGCTCCATTACTCCTGTGCCGAGTCCATTAACGCCTGATCCAATCATGGTTCAGTCATGTGTTTGTATTGCGGTAACATCTATCTTTCTATCTAGCTCATTATCCAATTAGAGTTATGAATCCTTCAATTGGCGCTATCAGTAAATATTTACTTCTACTGAAACTATAGTGGGACGTAAAGGAAATCTGTACACCAGTATTTAATATCAAATTTATTACGACTGTCTAGCATTTTAGAAAAACAGGATGAATCCTCAACCACAAGTTCATGTTGGCAACTTGGTACAAACATAAAATGACAATTTTAATTCCTGTTCAAAGTTTCTCTTAAGTTCATCTTCTCATTTTTTCCCCCCAAAAAATGTTCGCCGACTAAATAAAAAAAACTATGCTTAATCTTTAAAGCATATTTATACTATAAAACTAGTTTAGAATCGAAACAAAAATATATAAAAACCTTTAAATATGTTTAATTTACAAACGATGATTTATAAAAAAAAACGCCACCCTGTATGTTTGCAACATATATACATAGAACGTTAAGCTTAAACTGTTTTAAGATATAAATATTGCAATAATTATTTTTTATCAATTTTAAAATTATTATCTAGATAGGAGAGGCAGGATCTCTTCTGTTAAAAATTGTTGGAAACAGAAAATGATTTAGCATGTCTTTTGATAGAGTTTATATATTTAATTTTTAAATAAAAAAAGATATTATAAACATCTGTCTCATTCAATAACTATGTGCATAGATACACGCACGTATGATTGAAAAGTAAAATTTGATTTGAATAAAACTTTAAAGTTTTAACTTTGACAGTTCAATTTAACTGATATGAGACTCTGTAATAAATACTTGAGAAAAATCTATAATGAATAATATAACATTCTGCACTTGATTTTATTTCATAATTTCCAGTACTGGACACACGTATGTGGCCCTCAGCTGTTCTATTTTGTAGTGTCTACTTTGTTCACTCCTGTACGTATTTCATTACTTTTTGCTAAATTATTTTTTCCTTTTAATTTCAGTGATTCAATTCAACCTTGTAGTTAATTCAAAATAAATTTATGGAGTTCCGTAATTTAAATTATGTTATCAATCTCTTTGATTTTAAAAAAATTAAAAAGTCTCATTATGAACTCTGCTTATTACTGTAGGATTTTCATCTCTATTCAGCTCCCTTTGTAATAACAAATTCTTTGTATTCGATACACAATACTAAAGCTGTATCAACTAATTTTGTATTGAGCGCACATGTGAGTAGACCAAGACTGAAGAAGGAAGGATTGTCTGAGTACGACTAGGACTTCTATATATACAGATTACAGGGTCACTTTAAATTACCCTTACAGCCCCTTTAAGTCTGACTGCAGGACCTGAGATAGCACTTTATCTCGATATCCAATATGGGCACTTCTATATTTGAGGATTAATGCTTATCCCTGTAGCCTGCTGGTATGACAATCACAAAGATATCGAAGAGAAATTTAGGTCTCTGTATAAGATTAATGCTTGATTTACAAAACAAAAGTTATCCATGGTTATGAAGAAAAAATGCTAAAAACTTTGCATGTAAAGTGCAGCATTTTGCAAACTATACGCTTATTTGCTTTTTTATAATTAAAACACGCATTTGTGCCAAAACTAATGTTTTCTTCATTTTAAACTAAAATTATGATTATTGCATGCGCATAGAACTAAAAAGGTAATTAAGTTCAGACAAACTTCCCCCTTGTTAATTTAAAATTAGAAAACTGTTGTTTAACACAAGAATATCATAAAACTGGAAAATCCATGAAACATTCAAAATTTCTGCATTTTTTGTTTATTTTGCGGATTTTGTTAGCAACTGCATTCAACATTTTTGAAATATTTAACTAACAACTATTCATGAATAAACAATAAAATGTGGCATAAAAGTCGTCTTCATTATATTGTTCTTGCCAGTTTTTTATCCAAAACCGTAAATCTCTAATATTTAATTACCAGAGCTGTGTCTACGACGAAGAAGCCATTCAAATTTAACTTTTCATCGAGTTTTATTTAAACTTTTTAACATTCATAGACGTTTTGGTTATTCCAGAAAGGCTATTTTCCAACCCAAGTAAATAAACATAGAGGAAAAAAATTGAAATAAAGAACGAGGTGTAGGGAAAGGGAGGGCGGATAGGGGAGAGGGGTTAAGTAATTTGAAAAGGGGGAGTTTATTATACTAAAATATATTAAAATTGATCCAACAATGATTTCGGGTTTAATGGTAATGATTATGTAGAAATAACAGGAAATATATTGTTTATATTGTTTATGTTCAACAGGAACTAAGATAGGACAAAAGAGGTTTTCTTGTGTTAAATTTAAAACAAAATATTGTATATAGTAACATGAAGGAGTGTTTACCAACTTATGAAACTTTTAAAAAATGAACGATTTTGTTTTGAAAATGACGTAGAAAAAGGATTATTTTGAGTAACTAAAAGTTTTTCGTTTTACTTCAATACTACGTGGTGATGGGCAGTTTTGACATTTTTGAAAAACGTTCGTTTCCTTTTTGAACAATGAGAAAAATCTGAAAACAAAACTATCGTTTTGTAGACGATAATTTTAAAAAGTATCGCTTTGAAAGGAACGAAACTAGGTTATTATAGTTTTTAATAAGAAAAAGTAAACGATCGTTTTTAAACGATCATTCCGTAAAACTATATATTTGAAACATTTTGAAAACGATCGTTCCATAAAACAACAGATTTCAAATCAATCATTTTGAAAATTTTAAATATTTTTTAAAAAGTATTTTTCGATTAAAATATATTTTTAATTGTTAATTAAAACTGACGGTTTTATTTCAAAAAGATCGTTTTTTCATTTTTGAAACGATCATTTTTAAAACTTTTGTTTTTCCATTTCTGAAAACGATCGTTTTTAAAAACGATTGTTTTGAAATATGTTGTTTAATGGAACGATCGTTTTCAAAAGCTAAAAACTTACACTTCGTTAGTTTTCACAATTCGTTTTTTCCAACAACGAATTTACAGTTAGTTTTGAAAAAAACCAAATTGAAGCTAAAAACTATCGCTTTGGAAACTATGCCACCCCCTTATATACATCCTATTATAGTATTTAAAGTGATTATTGGTTCGTTTTCCTTGATTTTCTTGTAAAGACGACATGGATGTGTTCAGGTAATTTCAACGACAGTTTACTACTGCCTTGAAGCAAAGCTGTAAAAATTGTGTTATAAGAGCACGAAATATACTTTTGTTTTCATGGTACGGAAAAAATCTCGTGTTTTTTATTTAAATGCTAATGCAAAGAGAGACGTTTTGTTTTGGAAGAATGTAAAGTAGATTTCTTTCCAGAAAAGTTGAAAAATTGCTGAAACATTTCTAATGCGAGAACTTGTAGATGCAATGGTAGTATAGTTCTATAAATATATACAACTAAGAACTTATGAAATTCGGTGTTTTGTTTAATCTACAGTTAGTCAATATTTTAATTTGTCAGCTGTCAGTTGTAGATTAGCCGATAATGGTCGTGGTTCCAAAACTTTAACTGATGAAAGGTCCACATGAGTCCAATCATTGGATAACCTTACCTGTACAAACATACCGGTCGGATAATATCTCATAAATGTTATAGGGTTTAGGTAGGCATAGAGATTACTTTAGGATATATTTCACATACATACAAATATAAAAGATGTAGATATACTAAAGTTGCCTGAAATTGTTCACAGTAACACTTAAATATCATATATTTCAGCGCATATTCACAAGCCGCTTTTCTAATATTTTTAATCAGAATCAGATAACAAATCGAGTTAAAAAAATTATAACATTAAAACATTAACATTCAAGTGCATTTTAAAGAATAAAAGATAAACCAAATCTCATCAAATCTTGTAATTTTTCAGATTTAATTTTGTCCAGATCTAACAACCCTAAGCTTTATTAAGAAAAATAAAATAAAAACGCAAAGGAGATTCGAGTTCGAAAATTTTATTCAAAAAGATCATTCTCTTTCCTAGAGCTAGGACAAAAACTCAATTTTTGTGGATTTGTTAGTAAATACTTTTTTTCTTTGGATCTTAAAATAGTTTTTATGTACACCTGCAAACAAGCAGACAGTGTATTTTACAAAAATAAAGTAACCCAGAAACACTTCAGTTAGGGTTTTATTTAAGGTGTTTAAGGACTTCTTTTAAATTATTTTAAAATAAATTGATAAATTACTAAATAAATTATCTGAAAAAACGTTGTGTTTCTTTTAATAATTAATTTTTTAAGAGGATAAATAGTCATTAGCTTAAACCTCATAATTTTGACACATTTAGATTTTTATTGACATTACCCCCTGCTTCTCTTGAGTAGTTATTTCCATTTCTCAATCTTTCTAAGTTCTGAATTTCAGATAAATCAATTTGATAGTTCCGTTGAAAACAAACAGAACTCATAGGTTTCCGGTATAATGACAACCAAGGAAATGTTTACCTACTTATAGTTAGATAGATAGATAGATAGATATATTGATAGATAGATAGTAGATAGATAGATAGACGGATAGATAGATAGATATCCAGTTAGTCAATTTCTTTGAAACCATTAAATAACTGTTTAAATATTTTATTCCTATTTTACTTGAATAAAATCACTAAAACCAATGTACAAAAAAGATTAAATATTGTTGTGTGTTCTTGAACCGCAGAGCTTGTTTGGAAGAAGGAGAAATAACTTTGTGGTTTCTGCGTCGAGTAAAATTCTAAAATAATGATTTAAATGAACAGCTGAACACTCGCCTCCAACTCTCAATTAAATATTTAAAGCTTATGTTATTAGGTTGTAAAGATAAATAGATTATAAAATTAAAGCCTGAGGTGAGTAACCAGATCCCTTTAAAGGGCAAAATTTGAAATTAAATAATCATTAAACATTATTAACAAAATGAATTCTGCATTTTTCATGTAAAAAATATTCCGTGATAAAGTAATTGAGTTTTTACCTTAAACTTAAATTTACTAATGCCTATATAATATCTTTATAATTTGGTTTTATTGGTTTTTAAAGGTATAGGGTTAGAAACTAGAGTTTGTGGCAAAGTCTGAAATCCATAAATGGGCCAATAGTAAGAGTGTGAAATAAAACAATGTCTATTAATTTTGATTTATAACCCTGTGAAAAATATTGTAAATTTTTAAAATTATTTCTTTCTCTTAATCATATTTGTAAATGTAACCTGCACTGTGGGTATACAATGTAAAGGGTTCGCTGCGTTGACTTGTTCCAAAAATATTCGTGGATTCTACTTCAATCTGAAAAATAACTAATTGAATGTTACAGTACGCAAAAGATTAATAAAAGAAATTGTTCACCTGTTTAGAAATACTAGTAATTCCATATTTATGGAATTAGGAACTCTATTAGGAATTCAACTCAGAACTTTAACTTTTGTCGGAAATTTCTATTTCCTTTTAATTTTTTGTTCTTCTATTTTTCTCAATGAAACATACAAGTATGAACTAATACGAAATCCAATTGTAAACCTCCTGTTTTACATAGCACACGTTTAATTTTTTTAAAAAGAAGCGGATTTCCTGTCATAAACTAAAATGTTCCAATACTTAAATCTTAGCAACCTGATGATTTACACCTTTGATTTTTAAAACTGTTTATCTAAAAAAACCATTGTTTAAAATATTAAAGGCTTAGACATTGGGTTGCAAAGATATTGGGGTTAGAAAATCAGAGTTTGCGACAAGAACTCAGTTTCTTTAGTTATTCTAAGAAGCATACCCTGTCTAGAATTGTTAAGACAATACCGGAAATCTGAATTTTTTTGGCAGTTTTTAAACTTGAAAGATTGACCTTGATATCCAACGTGGGCACTATAAAAATAATGTATCAATACTTGATCCTTCAATTGGTTGGAAACAGTTAAACCTCGCTTAATCCTGATTGGTTGGAAATAGTTAAACCTCGCTTAATCCTGATTGGTTGGAAACAATTTAACCTCACCTGGTACATTTCATCTTCTATGAGGTTAGTTAGTGTGAAGGTATAAAATTCCTCTGAATTCTGTTAATTAAGAACAAATCGTACTTTTTAACCTCTCCGTTAAACTGTAGCGGCTAAGGAGGTGGACTGGGGTGGGGTGGGGGATTTTTGGTTTGTGTCAGGAAACGTAAAAAAGTTTAGTAATTATTTTCCTTTACAGTTCCTGGGTTACCTGAGGAAAATAGTTAAATCCCAAATCATTGTAAAATCAATTCATGAAATAGTCGGAAGAAGCAAGAATATACAAATGATTAAACTAGTTTTTCTTTTATTCACAAAAAAGGCGTTAATGGATTTTCGTTCAACAGCTTTAAAGAGAAACTGATTACAAGCATAAAAAAGAGTTGCTCATATTTGAATGGACAATTATTTCAAGATTCTGGAAGTAAAATTTAGTTTAAATATTTGATTTTTGTTCCTTTTTGAGGGGAAAAATGTTTTAAAACAACATTTTATCTTCCATTTCTATGATTCAATTTTTCTTCATTAAAAAAAAATTAAATATGTATCATTTCAATTAAATTTGAAAAATGACTAACAACAAAAACCGTAAACAACACCCATAGATTAGTTTTAAAGCATTTAACCTGAAAAGTTCGATTTGGTTTGGTTAGATGTTCCATAAAATATTTGGTCTGACTGTAACAATCTTAAGCAGGTTTAAGGTTTGTTTGGATCGGAAATCAAAATATTTGGGTTGGTTTTATTTCCGGAAATTAGATTAGGTTTGGTTTCATTTTCAGGAACAGGAACTGCATTTAGTTTGGGTTTATTTCCGGGACCTATTAATTGTTAGGTTAGATTTATTTGGTTTGATTTATTTCCGGGTACTAAACTTGGTTTAGTATTATTTCCGGGAACTATACATGATTTCGTTTTATTTCCGGGAACCTTATATGATTTGGTTAGATTTCCTGAAACTTAATTTGGTTTGGTTCGATTTGCCCTAGACCTTGTGTGAAGTTTGTATTCGTAGCGGTTTCCACTCACTTTCAAAATTCTTCTGAAATAGAACACTTTGTTAGGTCGGGTTGGGTTGGTTTGTTAGAGAAGGTAAACGAGGGGAGGAAGGAAGGCCAGCCACACAAACCTCTTTTACAGCCACACACAAACGCTTATTGATGAAATATTCTTGAAGTTTTTGGTTTCCATCCAAAATTTTCAAATGTTATGAAAACAAAAACTTTTTCAGGACACCAAATTTGAAAAACAATTTTTGAAATGTCACATTGTTTTCTCGTTAGAAAAAAATTGTAACTTTATTTTATTCCTAACGAGACCATATGAGTCTTTATAGAAGTGTTTGAAAGCTGATTTTAAAAATACAATGATGAGTATTTATACGTGGATCGGATAAAGTTAGAAGACGGTGGATCGGTTGCAGAGAACTGATGAAACGCACTCCTACCCTCGTTAAACAGAATATTTACAACGTGTTCAGTTAGTAATACATATTATGTATAATGATGATTTTCATATTTTATTAAAAATGTGCTCTCTTAAAAAATTTAATATTTACTTCTTATTGAATATTTTTTATGGACATTATTTTAAAGAGAGGAAATTGTAACGTTCGAGTACTTGCATAAAATTTTGTCAGTAGCTACACGGTGAAGCAAACAAAGTGTGATTAGCGGCGTCTGGTGCAAAATTGTATTTTTATTTGTGCAACTCTCCTGTTTGGTATTTTTTTAATTTTTGGATTTTTTTTGGTACTCTAATGGCTTAAAGAAATCAGCGAAAATTTTTGTCTCTCAAAATCAAAAGTTTAGAAAAGCAAAAATGTGTACATAAATTATTTCTATCAAATTCTAAAATTTTAAAAATATTGAATCACTTAAAATTCGCAATTTTTTAAGGAAAAGTTGTTTTTCAATGGCATATGTTTATAACTTTAGAATATACTAAAAAGCAAGGAATTAGAGGCAAAGTGTTTCCAAAACAATGAAGGGCAGCATTTTCAATGAATTTAACCTGTTAACTGTGCATTTATCGTCTACGGAAGTTTTGTGGATTTATTTTACATATCTTCCAAGTTTTAAAACCAATGTCTATAAAATTTTAGAATTTTATAGACATACTTTTGCTTTTCTGAACTTTTGATTTTGAGAGAAAAAAAAGTTTCGCGGATTTTTTTTGAGTCATTGAGTACCAAAAATAAAGTTCCAAACAACAGTGAACAAATACCATACAGAAAGTTGCACAAAAATGGTACAATTTTGCATCAGACGCCGCTAATCACACTTTTTTGACTCGCCCTGTTTACAAAACAGTTGTGCTTGATAAAAATTGTGAGAAGGGCGGGGAATGAATAAGTCGCGTAATGCAAAATATAACGAAGTGCATCTTGTGTATGAGAATATTTTTAGCCATAATTTTGATATCGTTTTCAAACTCCGTCAAAACTATCATAAAAACCTTTATAAATACTGGCACAAAATATCTTCAATATCTATACAAAAGATAAAGAGGGGGGGGGTCTTTGTTGCCCCTTTTTTCCCTAGTATTGATCCGATCTGGTTATTATAGGAATCCGGGAATGTTAAAAAATAAATAAAAAATAGTGTTTAGTTTCATAAACATCACTTGTATGGGGTCCTTATCTTGAAATTTTTTTTGATGATTATTTAGAGGAATTCAATTTGGTCAAATTTAAAAGTATGATTTCGTCTTTTTCTAATAAAAGTTGAAAAATATCCGGACTAGTATTGACATTCTTTCACTCTGCAGAACAACCACAAAATAAAAACAAAGATTTTTTAGTAAAAGTTTATTAATATAAGTCTTATATCCGGGGTTAAGTGAATTGAAATATTAACAAATTCAGTATGCTTTATGAATTAACAATTGACGCCGTTCAGCTAAAAATAAAGTTGCTAACTGGATAGAGTTTGAAAAGATTACTTAATCAAATTGATAATTAAATAAAAGATAAACATTTAAAGTAAGGGCGAAAATTATCTGAAATAAAATAAATTAAATTAATGAAATAAAATGAACTTTATGTCTGAATAAATTGAACTAATGTCTGAATCGCATGAACTAAATGTCTGAATGAAATGAACAAAATGTCTGAAAGTAAATGAACAAAATGTCTGAAATTAAATAAACTTAATGTCTGAATGAAATGAGCTAAATGTCTGAATCGCATGAACTAAATGTCTGAATGATATGAACAAAATGTCTGAAAGTAAATGAACAAAATGTCTGAAATTAAATAAACTTAATGTCTGAATGAAATGAACAAAATGTCATAAATGAAATAAACCATATGTCTGAAATGAAATGAACTAAATGTCTGAATGAAATGAACTAAATGTCTGAAATGAAATAAACTAAATGTCTAAATGAAATGAACTAAATGTCTGAAATGAAATAAACTAAATGTCTGAAATGAAATAAACAAAATGTCTGAATGAAATGAACTAAATGTCTGAAATGAAATAAACTAAATGTCTGAATGAAATAAACTAAATGTCTAAAATGAAATAAATGAACTAAATGTCTGAAATGAAATAAACTAAATGTCTGAAATGAAATAAACAAAATGTCTGAATGAAATGAACTAAATGTCTGAAATGAAATGAACTAAATGTCTGAATGAAATGTTTGATATTGCAAGGTTGAACGCCTGTTAGAAGTTTCCCAGCACGAGGTTAAGTAATTTCTCTGTGTGTAACATTCATACCTCAGGATTATATTGTATTGGCAGGAACTGATTGAAAATACCAGTTCTCTATATATGAGGGGGGGGGGTGTATTTTACACTATCGAATATCAAATATCAAATGACCGAAAGCATTTCAAAATTAAAAACATCTATTTTTAATTTCGAGTTACCCTCCATGAAAAAGTAACACTGCCCAATTCAAAATGTTGCCCTTAAAACTATTCGCTATAGTTTCAGTAAAAGTAAATATTTTCATTTACTGATAGCACCGTTTGAAGGATTCATAACTCTAATTGGATATTGAGATAGAAGTTACCGCCATACTATTTCTGTTGGTTCAGAATAGACAACAAACACATGACTCGACCCTGATTGGATCAGGCGCTAATGGACTCGGCATACAGGAGTGCTTTATCAAATATCTTTGAAAAAAAACTGTTTATTTTCAACAGGGGTTTCTCTACATAATTGACTTGTGCATTTCAACGCGAAATAAACATTTTCAAACCTTGAGAAAGGACAATATCTTCCACATTATTAATCAGATAAAGGCTTAAAAGGTATTGTTGTAATGAGGAGTTACTTAAAATTACACATACACTCCCTTTAATCAAATTACATCCTAATTTTTCAATTTCAATTCTACATATGTTAGGGAACTATATAAACACCACAATGCAATTGTGACAGCAATATGCAGTTTTAATTTTCTATTCTTGAAAAGTAATAAAATTTGACCAGAGCTGGTAACTTTTGAATTATTCTCGGGATTAATGCTTGATCCACTCTTTTTCTTAATCTCCAGATTAAATAATGCTTGCTCTCCTCTTGTTATTAATCTCTAGATTAATTAACAGAACGGGATTAAGGATATCCCATTCTAAAATTTTCAGCTATGGTATAAGAAATAAACTCTTAGTCTTAGCCGTTCTAGAATAATCAATGAACATTGAACGGATTTAAACGAACGATTTACATTCGTTCAAAAGTTACGAGCTCTTAACATTGTCCTAAAATGTGTATATATAAAAATGTATGTTGATTCATGATCCGGTCTAATTGAAGGATTTAACCAGGTCTTGTCTCCTACAGACCAATCCTGGGGATAACCTGTTCTTAAAGATAGTGTCAAATCTTAAACCCAGGGATTCTATAGAAATATATTAGTCAGAAACATTTCTTTACTCCAGATAAATCCTCCTCCTGCCTCTTGAACTTGTTGCCAGTGGAATTTAAGTGTTTTTAAATAGTTGCAGGTCAAATATTTAACTTTTATTTTAATAAAAGTAAATTTTACGATAGATCTAAATATTTCTATTCTCTTTTTTTGACGAGCTTTTGAGAAGAACCAAAAAAGGTTGAATTTCTGATATGCAACCGAATACATTGTTCATATTTATGCGGTTAATTAAAACAATTTTGCATACATTTTTCCTTTACATTTAATCTAGGTTTGAGTGGTTGGTTTGCTCAAAGATTACATGGAAAAAACCAAAATTAATGGTTAATATTTTATCAAACTGGGGAGTTAAAAGTATATTTAAAAAAAGGAAAAGAACTAGATAGATAGAAAGGAACTTTGAAAAGATTATGTCTGACTCCATTAAATTGAATTTTATTTATCTAAAAGGAAGTACAGATTGGATTTAATAAATATTCTAACCAGGGCAGAGTGTCGGAAAAATAAATCACATTGTCAGAGATAAGAGTTGTCCTAGATATACAACCATACAAATCTGTGATCTAAGAGAACTAGGAAGAAATGGTTACAAATTGTTGACCACATAAATTATTTAGTTTTTCTCAGAAAATTTTCTCAACAAGATGTTTTATCTGTTAAATGTCTGTTATCTCTAATATGTTGTGTATTATGTATTTGCAATTACACCTCTCAACTATTTTTAAATGGAAATAATTCAATGCCTGCGAAACTGAACTCTAATCTCGAGAACTTAAATTGATGGTATAAACCTTTGATATTTCAAATTTTGACTAAGTAGGCCAGAAGAATTAATATTAAGAAATGTCAATTGCGGAAAACATGTAAGAATTAGAAAATTCGAGTTTGAGGTTAGCAATCAGTTCCAGTGCTAGCAACTTGAAGGAAGATTACCTGAACATGTTTGATATATAGAGTATGTTCTGAGATAGGTCTGTATGTTTGAACCCTCCAGGATACAGAGTATGCTCCTTCATCTATCCTCTCCACCTTGGAGCCAAACTTGGGCTGCTCTGGTATACCTGGAACAAAAGCACTTTACACTAGGAAGTAGGAGACCTCATAGATCTTCTCTTTCTGATTTTCAGTATAAGTATGAAAAAAAAGTTTATACAGAGCTGAAAACTTTAGAATGGTGGATATCGAAATTAATGCTTGATTCTCTCTTTTTCTTAAAAGTGTGTCCATTGGATACTCAGATTAAGTAATCGGGATTAAGGATATTTCATTCTAAAGTTTTCAGCTCAGTACATATTAGAAATTTGAAACTTAATCTTCTCCGCAAAGGCTCTTCAACAAAAGAAGTAATGATTTAAAACATGAAAGATCTTTATTGTTTGTTCAATTTACATTAATTTGACATGTAATGTTGAATGGTATACTTCACTTTTGTATTTTATGTAATTTTTTTTAACTCAGTATTTTTTTAAGGTTCAAAATGTTGTCAAATTTTAACTACGAACAGCCATTCTTCAATTATGAAGTCTTCGTTTGTTTCTGACCCCATTCTAGCAATAACGCTTAATAATTGCATATTTATGTTGACTTAAAAAAACTTTTGATTCCTTGGTGTTACAGATAAATTTGTGGAAACATACAATTTTCGTTTGTTTCTGACCCCATTCTAGCAATAACGCTTAATAATTGCATATTTATGTTGACTTAAAAAAACTTTTGATTCCTTGGTGTTACAGATAAATTTGTGGAAACATACAATTTTCAGTAAAATTATACTTTCTGTTTAACTAACAAACCTGATATATGTATATGTGTTTTGCCTGATCCAAGACTGTTTGCTGCTTCACACAAGTAATCTCCAAAGTCTATTTCATGCATATGATGAAACGTTAGAACATGATGGGTTTGATTACTCCTGAAACTCCTGACCCCTGGTTCAGGTTTAATCTCCTGGTTCGTGTTCTTAAACCATTTGATCTCTGGTTCTGGTTGAGCAAGAACTTTACATGAGAGCTCAACCTTTCTGCCAACTCCTCCAAGTACCCTGGGATATTCTGATTCTACTACAGGTGGATAGAGTACATCCATATTTATTATTGCACTGTCTGGTTCTCCTATACCATTATCAGCTGTACACTTGTACTCTCCAGCATGGAACCGGTTTATATTGTACACAGTGATACTTTGTCCCTCCTGCAGCAGCTCCCCGTCCTTTATCCAAGTTACAGTTGGTATAGGGTTACCAGTTACTCCACATTTTAGGGTCACCAACGTACCCTCTTTTACAATCAGTCCTAAAAATAAAATGTATTTTACAAATAAAATATGAAAAATGAATATTTTGGGAAATATAAAAAAGTTTGTATTTGATGCTTAACAAACAAGAGCTCTTTTAAAATAAGAATTATTTTGTCCAATTTTTTGCAAATACTTAATGGGGCTCTCTGCAATTCACTGGAAATAAAATAGTTATTGTCAAAGTTTGAAATGAAAATGAATACTAATTAATAAGTGTTGAATTTAAAATGAAGCATTGATCAATATTAAACTAATATATTTAATAATTGACATGATTCTGAGATCTAGGTATTCAAGTCAATCCAGGTCACAATTTCGTTTGCCAGAGTGTTTTCTTCATTTTTAATTTTAAAAGTGTTTAAAGTTTTGCTCTTTGTTCAGATATCATCAAAATATTGAATAGATAAATCTAGATATACTTCAGGATTCGTAAAACTTATTCGAATCTTCTCATTAATAAAATAGGCTCTTTTAAAAGGAGTGTTCGTGAAAAAAAGAAAGGGGGTGCAGGTTGATGTCAGATGGCGTCCTTACGTGGGTGAGACGCCTAGCAAAATCTAATGACAAAAAAATCATCGTTTAAAGTACATCATATACAAAATATCATGAAATATCAACTTCATATGAATAAATCGAATTGACACATATAGGTTGTAATTCCCAAATGTTTAAATTTAAATGTAATTGAATTATTTACAATCTGAATGGAATTTTGCAACTCAGTGAATTTGTATAGACCATTTTTTCAAACCATTTTCACAGATAAAAGTTAAATTAGTAACGATAGATATCGAATTCTATTTGATGTCAGCCTTAAACCCTTTCCATTTTCGCGAACATTACCTTTAACAATTAGCAAAATATTTAAAAAGTCAATGTAAAATCATTTAGTTGAGTTCAAAACTAAAGAGTGAAGAACAGAATCCTAAAATCATGTAAATTGTGAAGTATACCTCCTGAATTGGGTTCTGGAAAAGCTGTTGGAGGATGAAGTATATCAAGGCTATGACGGATAGAGACTGGAACCTCTCTATCACTTTCAACCTCACAATCATACTCTCCCCTGTCCTCAAGCTCAAGATTCTTTATTACAAGATCAGTTCCTTTCAGCTCTAGTCTAGGATCCCTTCGGACCTTCATTCCTCCAGCTGTTAACACCCTAATCAAATATAATGTTTAATCTGTACCGGATAGATCTTTAAAATGTGAAACTTGCTAGAAAGCTGTGCTTGTCCAAGTCAATCCCAACAAACTCAGTACTAATCTGTATTCAAAAAAATTTTAATATATAAAAGATTTTTACAACAAAGGATTTGAGACTTTGCTACAATCTCTGATTTTCTAATCCCTATCTGGGAATTTTAAAAAAACAAAAATATCGATTACTGAGCTTATTTAGGTATTCTCACACCAAGTTCATTCATCATTATATTTGTTTATGAAAAGAATGATTGTTATTGTATGATCCTGTCATAATCCTTAACTTTTCTTTAATCGCATTCCGATAGAAAATAATGTTTACTTCTGGACATGTTAAGGCATTTAACTAAATAAACCAATATTCATTATTAATTTCGAATCTGTAATTCTGACTTAAAATTGAGAAAATTGTAGAACTTATTGAATAGATCAGTGATCAGGAATCCATTATCAAATTGAAGTGTATATGCATGTAAAATCAAATATTTAAATTTTTCAACATGATGGCTCAATTTTAAATTTTCTTCTGATATTGCTATTCTCATCAAAAAATAACATATATTCAACGTCGTACTCTATACATTTTTTTTAATCTTTTTCTTTTTGTAAATTTTTTTCTTTTAAAAAAAATAAGACAAAACTATATTATGCAGTGGGACCCTATAATAGAAAGACGACACAACAATTATATTGCAGTGTTCACAAACTCATTTTACATTAAAAGATGATCTTTAATGTCGTCTACCTATTCTACAGGTTTTTGGATCCCACTGTACAAACTACCTGGGCCCTTGTTTCCATAATAAAACATTTCTCCCAAGAAAACTAACAGAACACTCTAGTTTGATTGAATCTCCTAGTCTCCCCTGGTACAGCTAAATACATCTTATTCAGAAGTAATATCAAAAGGTTGAACCCAAGGTAAAATGGCACAAAATGGGGGAAAATGAAGGCAAATTTTAGATAATATAAAACAAAAGGAACTGATTACTCGCTACAATCTCTGATCTTTGCAACCGGATGTAGAAGATAAAAAAGTTTTTGAAATATTAAGTCTTTTTTATCATGTTGCAGTTATTAATCATTTCCTTTGTCAAAACGATTTCATTTCATTAAAAAATGAAAATGCTCGCAGCTTTTTAAGTTTTTATTGACAATTTTAAAGAGGTAACCAAGCTATATTAACACGGAAACAAAAATGGTTTAATTTTAAGATTAGAACACACTTTAAATACAGCGTTATTTTTAAAAATTTTACATTTTCGAGGGGGGGGGGGCGAATTTTTTAAAGAGTTTCCAGTGAAAGAAATTTAAAATTTAAATATTGTTAAGGATAAAATTTCGGGTTTTGTGTAAAATTATAAGTTAAATAGCATGTATGCTATCTATGTACACAATGTAGATACATACTATTGAATTTACAAATGTATAAATATGTATTTTGGGAGACGTAGTTTAAGTCGACTCTCTTATTAAGTTATTAAAAATGACAGGCAATCATGGTCAATTGCTGACCACACAAATTATGACAATGTTTAGTGTTTAGTGTTCAGTGTTCAGTGTACAGTGTTCAGTGTTCAGTGTTCAGTGTTCAGTGTTCAGTAGTCAGTAGTAGGTAGTCAGTGGTCAGTGTTCAATTTCCAGTGTTTAGTGTATTCAGTGTTTAAGGCTTAGAGTTATGTTCAGTGCCTAGTGTTTAGAAAAGGATTTTAATCAGGGTGCTTACAGGAAAAAGATTTTAAAATTATAAAAATGGGTGGGAAGCGCCCAGGGTTACTTGCAAAGTAAATCTAATTTACTCATTTATTTACAGCTAAATTAACCACACCACTTCATTTTAAAATTATATTCTGTTTTAAATTAATTCAAGGCTGAACATTTTAAACTTTTCACTGGTGACAACAACATAGATATTCTACTTTTTTATTCAATTAAAGAAAAGTATGAAAATTTATTCACGATGAAATTAAATTTGCAAAACATATGGTTGGACATGCCGATAAATTGAACAGCATGGAATTTACTTTTTTTCTGCAAAGAAATACTTCAAATTTTACGGGCGGCTAATGAAGTTTATGACTCTTCATTGATTTATGTGGTAGAGCCTAGAGGATAGGAATTTTGAAACAGAAAAAACACGCAATATCAAATCATTGATGGTGTATCTTTCGATATACGCAAATCCACTATACTCAATTTCTGACCTACGACAAATCCGCTATATTTCACATCCACCTACTAGCACGTTATTTTACAGCTCCTATATGGACTTGTGGCCGCATCGCCCGGCCCCCTAGCCCCTGCGCTCGGCCCCCTAGCCTGTCCTAGCCGCAGCGCTCGGTCCAGAAATTGTCTTAACCTAACCTAACACTCAAATATTACAAAAATAAACAGCTGGCGTAGGTCCTATATTTATGTAGGTCGGAAAGTTAGTAGGTCAGAAGTTAAGTAGGGGGTTGTTGTGAACAGACGATATAACAATACCCATTTCATTTTAAAGATCAAAACTATTGAAGCTATAAACCAAGATTTAAGCGAGGGCTACAGAATAAAACTAGAATGACAACCAGAATGTAGGACTGGGCGTGTTCTTACTTTTTTAATCGTTTGTTTCGTTCCGTTCCGTTCGTTCTTGTAAAAGAAACATCGTTCCAAAAAATAGATGCCCAGCCCTACCCGGAAGATATACCTTTTGCTTAAATTATCGTTTAGCCACATCAACTGAGCTCTACATAGCTGAGATCCACACAAATATAAAAATTATGCAAGAAGTTTTTAGACCCGCGGTCGACTTTGAAGTATCTTCAGGTCTTGACCTTTGGTTTGAAGTCACCATCTTCTAGTTCTTGTTCGTAGACCTGGACACTGGACAACTGGACTGTGAACATTTACGTTAGAAAATTGTTACGCAAATAAAAAAAGTAATTGGCAAAATCCTGATTGATTTTTGCGTGAGAACAAGTTATGCAATGACAAACTCGTTTACATTGTAAGTGACCCCTATGTGTCGTGTTTAAAACGGGGGGGGGGGGGGGGTTTGTTAGATTCTAGATATAAATTGATAGATTTAGTGTAAAAACTAGTGTTGTGTACGGAATACAAAATATGACATTATTTCTCTCGTTTATCATAGCTTTATTCTGCAGTTCCTACCTTTCCTTTTGTGTTTAAAACCGGTTCTTTTAGCCCACTACTAATCTGAACTAAAATATAAAAATACAATTTTAATCCAAAAAAATATTCAAGAACTATTTTCTTCGCTGAAGTGAAGTTTTCAAAAGATTCAACTTCACAATTCTAAGACTTTAAATAATACCTGCAATTGTGACTATGACAGCTATAACGATCATGCTAATGTACTGCTGAGACTGTAAACAATGGAGGTTCTAATGTAAGCAATGGATCAAATTGTAAACAATGGTTCTAATGTATACAATTGGTTTACAATCTACCGTACTGGTGGCTAGTAGAACTGCGACAGACCATATTTGACGCTGAAACCATGAGATTTGGTTTCCCGAGGTTTGATCCTCAACCAGAGATTGTGGATCCGTCCTCCGGTAGTGAGGCTGGTTCGAGTTTCCGGGCCGGGTCAAAGAGGTCGAAGGGAGAAGGGCAAGGCCGCCGGAGGAAGTAAAGCAGCAGGTTGTCAGAGAAAAGACGAAAATGAAACAAGTTTCTCAAATAAGAAAAGAAAGAAGTTTAAAACCAACTTTACGCAATAAAACTCTTTTTTTTCTCCCATTTCTAATTTCACATTTTTTGACCCATGTCATTGACAACTTAAATGTATGAACAAAAATAATGTTTGACGAAAATTTTTATTTACAACTTATAAACTTACAGCTATATATCATGCGCTTAAAAAAGTTTGGATCGACGATTATCAAAAGTTTTAATTTAATATGTTGGCAACTTAGTTATAAACATTATTATTTTCAGAGCTTACAGCTCAGGACAATCAGTATAATACCCTTGTATACCTTGTACACATAAACCCTTGTATACCTAGTATACCTGAGAGCAGTTGGATATACTAAAAAACTCATACAACTAGGACTTCTCTCCCTTGAAACAAGAAGAACTAGATATGATCTAATACAGACCTACAAAACCCTAGAGGTTGAAGGAGATGAATTCTGGTTTAAAAGAGTTCATCAAGTATCTGTGAGAACCACCAGACAATCAGATGATAGACCTAGGCTGAATAAACAGAGAACCAACACCACCATCAGAAGTAATTTCTTTACCCAAAAAGCCATTGATGATTGGAACCAGTTACCCACCACTTCTTCTTCTGAGATGAACTGATGAACTGAGAATATGACAAGATCTCCAGAAGAAAACTGTGTGGAAAATTTTTTGTTAAATGTCCCTAGCGGGGGCTACACCAACTACTCTCCAAGTATACAAGTAAGTAAGCATACAAGTATACAATCCTATACCATCAAAATACCTTGTACACATATACCCATGTATACCTAGTACACATATATACTTGTATACCTAGTACACATATACCAACCCTTGTATACCTTGTACATACCCTTGTATACCTAGTACACATATACCCATGTATACCTAGTACACTTATACCCTTGTATAGCTAGAACATAAACCCTTGTATACCTAGTATACATATACCCTTGTATATATAGTACACATTTACCCTTGTATACCTAGTACATATATACCCTTGTATACCCAGTACACATATACCCTTGTATACCTAGTACACATATACCCTTGTATACCTGTAAACATATACCTTTGTATATGTATAGTAAACATATACCCTTGTATATATAGTACATACCCCTGTATACCTTGTACACATATACCCTTGTATACCTAGTTAACATGTACCCTTTTATATATATAGTACACATTTACCCTTGTATACCTACTACACATATACCCTTGTATACCTAGTGCACATATACCCTTGTATATATAGTAAACATATACCCTTGTATACCTAGTACACATATACCCCTGTATACCTAGTAAACATATACCCTTGTATATATAGTACACATTTACCCTTGTATACCTAGTACACATATAACCTTGTATACTCAGTACACATATACCCTTGTATACCTAGTACACATTTACCCTTGTATACCTACTACACATATACCCTTGTATACCTAGTGCACATTACCCTTGTATATATAGTAAACATATACCCTTGTATACCTAGTACACATATACCCCTGTATACCTAGTAAACATATACCCTTGTATATAGTACACATTTACCCTTGTATACCTAGTACACATATAACCGTGTATACTCAGTACACATATACCCTTGTATACCTAGTACACATATACCCTTGTATACCTAGTAAACATATACCCTTGTATACCTAGTAAATATATACCCTTGTATATATAGTACACATTTACCCTTGTATACCTAGTACACATATAACCTTGTATACATAACTAGTGCACAACTACCCTTGTATACATAGTAAACATATACCCTTGTATACCTAGTACACATATACCCTTGTATACCTAGAACATAAGCCCAGTGTATACATTGTACACATATACCAACCCTTGTATACCTAGAACATAAACCCTTGTATACCTAGTACACATATACCAACTCTTGTATACCTAGAACATAAACCCTTGTATACCTTGTACATATATACCCTTGTATACCTAGAAAATAAACCCTTGTATACCAAGTACACATATGCCAACTCTTGTATACCTAGAACATAAACCCTTGTATAACTTGTACAGTGTACACACTACACATTTACCCTTGTATACCTTGAACATAAACATAGATATGTATATATAGTACCATCTCTTGTTAATAAATTATATATATTTAAGCACCTGATATTCTGCCCTTATTTACCCTGAAGCTCCCCTCCTGCTAATATTGATTACTTCTAATCAATGTTTTATATCACAAATAATAGAGAGAGAGAGTGTTATAATTACCAACACCTTAACACCCTGAACATATACAAGCAATTAATAAACAATCATGAATTAATCGTTTGGGTCGAAAAAATGAAATGTAATTACTTATTTACAGTAGAAACTTTATATTATGTACAGAGAGACCCATACATCTGTGGACTACGAAGATAACTGTTATCTACAAGTTTCAAAGATAAAAAATAACAGTTTAATTTTTGAGGAACTCAAAATTGAGTACCGTTGCGTCAATGTAAAAGTACAAACCGGAGAAAATTTTAAGATTTTATTTTAAGATTTTTAAAGAGTTTAGATAATCCTTATTATATAAAACAGGTGTGTTTTTATTTACCTGTCTTTTTTAGGAAGATTTTGTTTGAAAATACTTGATTTATTTCTTGGCATCCAATAAATCTTGATATTCATAATATCCCCCGTCAATTGAATATTATATGTACATATATTCAGATATTGTATACCTGTATCCCGGTATCCTTTTCCTTCCCTGTATCCCTGTATTCCTGTATACTTGTATTCCTGTATCCCTGTATCCTTGTTTTTCTGTAACAAAGTATCCATTCCCTTTATACCTAAGGGTCCCTGTATTCCTGTGTCCCTGTATCTCAATGCCTTTGAATGTCTGAATGTTTCTGTATCCCTGACTGAGTGTCCTGTATCCCTGTAATCCTGCAACCTGTATTCCTGTATCCCAGTATCCCGGAGTGTCTCACTCTGTATCCTTGTATCCCTGTATTCGTGTATTCCTGTATCCTGGCATCCATGAGTGTCTCTTTAACCTTGTATTCCTGCATCCCTGTATTTATAAGTGTTCCTCTGAATTTCCAAAAACACTTTTTATTAGATGAATTACATTATCTGTGCGTGTCACTGTATCTATCCAGTTACAACTCTTATTCTCTTGACTATCAATGTCAACACACGGCTACAATCCCATGAACACCACTAACACTGGGCGCGATCTCGTTAGCTATCGAAACATTCGGAAGCTCGTCTATCAATGCCAAATCAATGTGCACAATCCACACGGCTACAATCCTGTGACTTATCAATGTCTCAACAAGGACACAATCCACAAGGCTACAATCCCATGAAATATAAAAACGACTGAACAAGGACACTATTACTCTTTTGCAATTATCAGTAGGGAGTCTCTATCGCAACTAGTGTATTTGAGGTTGATATGTTACAAGTTAAAGTTAAAAGACGTAATTACAATTCCTCAGGCAATCATGTTAAGTATTACAGTTGAAATAGGCACAGTTAAGATGTACGTCATTATATATATAACAGGTTAGGCAAATCCTGCTACGTATTTATTCTAAATGGGTTTTACGTAGTAGTTTACAAACATAGATAGTTAATAATGTACAACGTACTGCAGATTTACAGAATACCGTGTTACCTGATATGTATTACATCCCTGTATCCCTGAGGAGTTAGGGTACCATGGGTATTCCTGTACCCCTGTATTCCTTAGGGTACCCTGTGTACCCCTGTATCCCTGACGGTGTCCTAGGTATCCTTTTATCCCTGGCGGTGTCCTGGGTATCCCTGTGAGTGTCCTAACTCCCGGGTATCCCTGTATTCCTGAGGGTGTCCTGGGTATCACTGTTTCCCTGTATCTCTGACGGTGTCCTGGGTATCCCTGTATTAGAGATGTCAACGATAGTGTAACGTAACGTAAAAATGTACGTTTTTGTACGTTACGTTACAATAATGTGTAACGTTTGGATATATTCTATATAACGTGAACGTTAAACGTTAACGTTATAGGAGCTCATACCTAACGTTAACGTTAAACGTTAACGTTAGAGGAATATACCCCCAAAATAAGCAACGTAACGTTTCTAACATTAATTCTTTTGATGAACACCATCGTAACGAAAGCTAAAATCTAGAAAAATCAAAACGTTGACATCTCTACCCTGTATCTCTGACGGTGTCCTGGGTATCACTGTATCTCTGACGATGTCCTGGGTATCCCTGTATCCCTGAGGGTGTCCTGACTCCTGGGTATCCCTGTATCTCTGACAGTGTCCTGGGTATCACTGTATCTCTGACGATGTCCTGGGTATCCCTGTATCCCTGAGGGTGTCCTGACTCCTGGGTATCCCTGTATCCCTGTATTTGTCCACATGTTGTGTTTACAATACATCAACTTAAACCAATTAATTATACAACTTATACCGAGTATACATTTAGATATATCTAATATTTAGAATAGTAGGATAATCAACCAGATAGATAGATAGATAGATAGATAGATATATAGATAGATAGATAAATAGATAGATAGATAGATAGATAGATAGATAGATATAATGATAGATAGATAGATAGATAGATAGATAGATAGATAGATAGATAGATATGATAGATAGATAGATAGATAGATAGATAGATAGATAGATAGATAGATAGATAGATAGATAGATAGATAGATAGATAGATAGATAGATAGATAAATAGATAGATAGATAAATAGATAGATAGATAGATAGATAGATTAAAAGTTAAATAGGAAGAAAGTAAAAGATAGATTGATAGACAGATAAATTAGAAGGATAGATAGATAGAGAGATGAAATAAATAAATAGAGGATAGAGAAATTAAAAGATAGATAGATAGATAGATAGTTGCCAGATACTTCTTAAT